TGGCAGTCGCCGCCCCCCCCCCCAGAGTTATGGCGGAGCATGACGGAAGGGACAGTCCGTGGAGCGGCTGGGTGACTCTGAGGACGGGAAAACTGGAGACAAAAGGGACCATGAGAGGGCAGAAGCAGGCAGGAAGGGTAAATGACAAACAAGAGCTGAAGCTGCACATGAGGAAAGCAAAGGGGACGCAAGCAAACCTCTACGACGATCTAACAGAGCCAGTAACACCTACAGCAAACGTGCAGCAATCAAACGCGATGAGCAGCTCAGTAAAAGAGCAAGAGCAGGAAGTTAAAGACACAGATGACAAGGTGATGATGAGGGGCATGTCTGAGCCGTTACTCAAAACACAATAGGAACAGGTGAGGGAAACTGACTAATACTGAGGGTTCATACACTAGGCTATCCCAGAAACATGGGTACAGACATCATTACAGGACTAGGGACATACAATCAGGGATTAAAAAGGTACAAAACAAGGATCCAAACAGAGACACAATAACACATGACCTGGGCGGGAAGCGTCCAGCAAGGCGAGGCCAGCCTTTGGCCAGCCGTCCGCTGAGCCCATTTAGCCACATGGTAGCCTGGGGAGTAGAGGAGCAGAACAGGATGGCCAGCGACATCAGCTGGCCAAACAGGGAAATGACAGGCAGGACAGAGGAGGGGCTGATCCTGACACACAGGAGTCATTGTACTTAGGCAAGCTGTGCTCCTGTTGTTTTAATCCGGATTGGTCCAGCCCTCCTGTATTACAGCCAATCTCTAGGGAGGCACAGGAGAGTCCTGTAAAGTGGCTGGTGGCTGTGTGTGTGTGTGTGTATGTGTTTGCATGCATGCATTTCTGTGTGCATGTTTGTGTGTGCATGTCTTTGCATGCGTGTGATTCTGTGTGTGTGTGCGTGTGTTTGCATGCGTGCGTTTCTGTGTGTGTGTGTGCGTGTGTTTGCATGCATGTGTTTCTCTGTGTGTGTGTGCGCATGTGTTTGCATGCATGCGTTTCTGTGTGTATGTGTGTGTGTGCATGTCTTTGCATGCGTGTGATTCTGTGAGTGTGTGTGTGTGTGTGTGTGTGTACAGCCTCACTTTGCTTGTGAACAGCAGAAGAGTTCTCCCAGTTCAGTGCTCTCCGTGTCTGGTATGGACTTGTTCCCTTTGCGGAGAATCCTGTTTACAGCGGAACAGGATGGATGTGGCCACCTTTCAAGGCGAGACTCTGTCTTGTACGGAAACAGAACCAGCACTTGGTAAAAAGCACGAATGCTCACCGTCCATCATCAGCAGACCTTGTGACTCAAAAACCCAGAAAATGTAGAAACCTCAGTAATCCTGCGGTCCGGGGAAAGTTTCACCCCTCTGCTCCAGGCCACATTTCCTTAGAAATGTCCGGTATTAATACCCATCCTGTCAGGCTGAGTGTAAGAAAGTTTATTTTTTGGGTACATGGTCTGTGTCTGGTGTTAGTTAACAGCTTCCTTTAGAATAAGCAGAGGTGAGGGACTCTAGAATATAAGCCTAATGCGTCTGGAATGCAGCTGGAACGTGTGAAAGTAGCATTTACGCAACATTCCTTTGAACTAACCGTGAATACAGGAAACGACCGTGAATCTGACAGGGAGCCCCCCCCCCCCACAGCCATGACAGGAAATTTCATCAGAATGTCCCAGACGGTGAGCAGAATGATAACCCTGCATCCCTGCGTAAAGCCGGCCAGCACAGTAATGCTGTAAATGTAGGAATTTTGGCCAGGTGGTCTTACCCTGTGCACAGCAGTCTGTGTGCATGGGGGGACCCTAGCTGTGACCCAGCTCCCCATGAACAGAGCCTTCCTCACCAATCCCTGAGCCACACTGGGGTCTCCAAACCAGAGCTGGCATTTACCAACACTCAAGCCTCACATCGGCTTGGAGCCCCTGAGGTTTGGGCCCCCTGTTGGCCACAAACAGTCACTACACTTCTTATTTGGGAGATACTGAAGTGGCATGTTCTGCTAACCAGCTAGCGAGCTGCAGTCTTTTCACTCTACTCACTATTAATTTGGTTTTATTTAGCCTCAAAGTGACTTTATGAGTGAAAAAGCACATCTGGCCTTGCCCTGGACGATGTCGCCCTCTGAGTTTGTCATCAAGTTGCGAGTCCTGGATCAATGTCACCCATTCTCAGGGACAATGGGACACAGACTTCCTCCGTACTGGGACTTAGACCTGCCACCATGTGGCCACATGTTCACGGTCATCCAGCTGCTGAGCTACCTGCCTGCTCTTCTGACAAAGTCACGACCAGAAACCTACCCGTCTCACATCTAGAACATTCCCGGCTCCGGCAGCATTGCCAACCACAGGCCGTGAAAACCCCCCCCCCCCCCGGAGCGAGCTCCTCGCCGCCGCGGGGAAGGAGAGATGTGCCTATTGGTGGGAGCGGTCAGGCTTAACGAGGCCCCGGAAATTAGACTCCGGTGCCCCGACTCCGCCAGCCCGCGTGAGTCATGCCTCCGGGGAGGGTGAGGTAATGCGTAGCGTAATTACGATTCTCCCACAGCTCGCTGCCTCGTTAAGAGCAGACAGACTCACTTTGGGCGCAGCCCATAAGGGATACGGCCCAGGAGCCAAACTTCTTAATGGGGTAGGTAGGTGGGGGGGGGGAGGTACATAAAGAGTGGGATGCTGTCCGAAAGACGTACGCAGCATGGCGCCTGAGCGTTAAAATAAATGCGGGTCTCAGCTAGCAGTGGATGTGCTTCATCTTTCCGGAAAGTTCCAGTAATGCTCCACTCTCAGGGATATGACTTTGCTGGTGGAGAAGCTGGATCCACGCACACAGACCGTTATTGGGATGATGAAGTCTGCGGGCAGCGAGAGTCACTAGTTTGATGGTCCCGGAGACTGGGGGCCGCATGGTTTCGAGCCGAGGTTCAAGGTGCACAGCTCTCAAAAACACTCAGGGGAGCGTTTTTTTTTAACACGAAAGGTGAATTTCTGTAACAATATTGTGTTTGCAGCGTGATAATCTCTTGCCAGTCCCGTAACTTAGGGAGAGGACTCTCCGAATTTGCATCCACGCAGTTCTGGGAGTATCTTTGGAGTTTATGAGCTCTGCAAAGCCTCAGATTTTTATCACTGCATGTGCGCCCCCTCCCTGCCAGAGCGGCCTCCCTCTACAGTGATATTAATAAAGCCTTCCAGCATACGTCCCTTTCTGATGTTTAATCCTTGCTGTCTCACTGTGAGCCAAATGCTACTTTTATTACCTAAAAAAATGCTTTTTGCTGTTCCTCCCCTGCAACAATAAATGTATAATATTATGGGATGTCGGTGAAGTTTCTTTTTAAACAATAGTCTTGATTACTGCCTTTGGGCTGTCAGAGTGTCACTGGGGAGGGCAGTCCAAAGCTCCCATGGGTGGGAGGGTACTACAGAGACCAGCCAAGACCCCCCCCTTCATCCCTCCCAAAGTCCAACCATCACTGCATCTTCTGGCCCAGGGGAACCACAGACTCCCCCAGATAAGTCCCAGCTTCTGAAGCGGCGCTGGACTGGCAGGAAATGCAGCCGGAATTACAGAATGCGAGGAACCCACTGTCACTCCCGCCCAACGCAAAGCGGCACCCGTGCCACCCAATGCTCACGTGGCCTTTCTCAAAAAAACGCTTTTGTTATTTTGGGCATCTCATACGGTAGCGAACCGCTGCATTTTCAGTAGCCGGCATCTGGCCAATCGGTGAGCCTGGGTGACGTCACGTGACCATTGACGTAGGTGATTCACCACTGCTCTGAGAACTGGAGAGATCCCAGAATAGGGGGATGGGAGGAAGCGCAGATGCCCAGCAGACAGAGGGAGCCTGCTTGCCGCCTCTGGGGAGATCGCGTCCTTTAATGAAATGTTCTTATAATAGCTAACGTGCCCAGCGCCGTGGCCCCCATAGTAACGGTGATGCGTGCCAGTGATGTCATCGGCGCTGCCTGTGAAGGACAAGCCCAGCTGCCAAGATGTGGGCGGGGCCTGTGACAGAAACAGCTGGCATGCAGGATTAGTAAGGAATAGACCTTTCTAGAAACTGCCTCTGTACCAACTCACAGGTCGGTCCTTGCTGCAAGTCAGCAGAAATGATTCAGCTGTGGGAAGCAGGAGTAGGAAGAGCAGAGAATGCTGGGATATGACGTGAGGGAGCTTCCTCCGTCCTGATTGGTCGTTGCGTAAGAGCGGCTCTGTCCTTGGCATAGCTATGAACTGCGCTTTTCCCCGCCGCTTTGTTCCTGGAGCGCAGTACTCCAGCTGTCATGTTGTCTGAGAGGATCTTCACAGATCTTCCAAGCACAGCCCCACAGCTGTCTGCACCGTGCTCCTGCCCGTTACTCTCCCGTCTGCAAATGGGGCCCGGGACTGTACATCGTCCAGGATGCGAGTGGTCTGCCTTGCTCCTGGTGAGGGACAGGGTGAGGGTGTGCTTGAGGGGGGAGCCGTGTGCCCCTGCATCTGGCGGCATCTGCTACCTGTCACAGCGGTGCCAGAACCGGCCCAGACCGGTCGTGGGTGGGCATACGCTGCCCCTCCCTGTTCACAAACGCTCACTGTCGCATCCAAACTTCCCATCTGTCCCTTCAGATCTGTTAGCTGCCATCACGTCGCTCTTTGTTAGCTCTGAGCTGCGGAGATGGCCGTTCCTCCTGGCTGGGGCGATCCTAGGATTTTTGGGGGCACCATAATTCATACAGATGGGCCAACCTTGTCATTAGCCAATGATATGTTTTTGAGACAGGCGAGGGGCACTCCACAGCCAATCAGCTTTCAGATTGGGCGGGTGCCTCTGTAGCCCTGCCCCTGTTAGACCCCTACATGTTAGTCTATGGTGACCCTCAGACATGCAGGTTCTGTAGCCCGGTATCTAAAGTTATGTCACCTTGGCGACACGGTTGGCCTCACCAGACAGACAGCTTTCTGTCCCTGCGTGTAAGTGACCTCACGCCGTCTCTCCCCTCCCCCCTCCCCCACCTCCCCTGCAGTTGTCAGGCACCAGCGTGACGGTGGACATCGCGGTGATGGGCGAGGCCCACGGGCTCATCACGGACCTGCTGGCGGACCCCTCGCTGCCGCCGCACACCTGCAGCTCCCTGCGCGCCGTCAGCAACCTGCTGAGCACCCAGCTCACCTTCCAGCCCCTCCACCGGCCCCGTGTCACCGCTCAGGGCTCCTTCGGCGACACCTCCGGCTGCTCCGACTCCGAGGACGGGCTGGAACGTGGCGAGAGGCTGGCGCTGCCCAAGGTAATGCCCGTGTGTAGCAGACCCGCTTCCGGGGAGGTGTCCGTCAGCCGGGGCGACTCGGAACGCTCTGATTATTCATTAATCTGCTGCACCTGTGCCTCCCTCCCCCCCATGTTGCCCCCCCCCCCCAACCCAGAACAGCAGCAGCAGCTGGCCTGTGTACCATCCCACCGTCTCTCTATGGGCGCCGTGTGGATCAGTAGGTTTCGGTTATGTGTCTGCGTTGTGTGGGTTTGAATCCCCTGCTCAACGGAGGGATCATATCTCTGCTACACCCTGGATCGAGACCCTTAATGTTTCGGGGTTGGGGGGGCTGAATGTGGGTGAGCCAAGCTATTCTGGGTCATGCTTAGATTTGGAAGAAGGACATTAATATCCATTCTCTGCTTTGAATATCTGAAGAACATTCGAAGTTGTAGCAAATTTCACTGAAAAACCTGCATGTATCCCCACCGACCCCCCCCCCCTTCCGTTATTCGGACAAGCCGTCGCTCCTCCTTGCCTATTTAAGAAGGAAGGGCAAATCCCTGCCTTTGGTCAGTGGGGGTAGTATTTACCAGAGGATACATCCCAGTACGTTTCTTTCCGGATCGGCGGTTCCCCGGTCGTCACGGTAGCGGGGCCAGGTTAGTGTCTTCCCGTTTTTTTCCTTTCATCCTTCCGGGGGGTGTGTCTGGCTTTCGGCCGTCCTGAGGACTCGGGCCGCGTCCCCTGCTGTGGGGGTTCTGTTTACACTCACCGTCCCTGGGTATCTGACAGCTTAGCTCTTCAGCTGCCTACCCCCCCACCCCGCCCCCGCTGCAGATGAAGGTGTTTTTCCAGTTTGAGTTGGGGGGGGTGGGGGGCGGGGTGTGTGGTTTTTGAGAGCCCGGTTCCTTAAGAGAAAGTTCCTCTTTCATTTTCACAGCTGTGTCAACATGATGGATCTGAGAAGATAAAAAACACGCACATGTCGAGGGGACGGGAAAGACTGCGGTTCTGCGGGGAATCAAAACAGAATGAGAAGGTCTGGAAGCAGCCTGCGGCCCTTAAGCGAGAGAGCGGGTCCCCATCGTATCACACGCTCACGGGCCCCTAGCGCTGAAGCAACTGTCGAGAAGGTCACTCGTTTTCAGGAGACGCTGGACGTTCAAGTTGTACGCCTGAACCCTGAAGTCTCATTAATTACAAACGCAGGCCTGAGCGGCTCTGCGAGGCCAGCGCTGAGGGGGGCTGCTGGTTAGCGGACGGCGGAGAAGCACTGTGCTTGCTCTTTCTAGAAGGACGTGATTGACAGGCATGGGGCCCGCCCTTACGACATTCTTTCGACTTTTGCTGATCCATCCCCTGAGCAAAAGAGCAAGTCGTCAGATAGCATCCGGCTCCCGCTGTCGAAGCAAATACGAGGGCAAATCGCTTTTAGCTAGATTAAGGAATGATCGCAGCGAGCAGAGTGGGAACCGGGATGCTTCGGATAGAGAAATATGCCTTTCTTGATCCGAACAGATGCTCGCTAGGCAAGGACAGGGGTGCCAATGGTTGTGAAGCCTGGATGAGTTTGAGCACAGATGGCAGAGAAGCATGCCCAGGGTCTTTCAGGGTTATGTTCCTGTTGGCCGGAGATGGGACACCTATGATTGCCTAGAGGGACACCTCTGTCTCCACCACCCCCCTCCGGCCCATCTTAGGTGGCCTTCAGCACCCACCGGATTTAGGGCAGGACAGGAAGTCAGCACTTTCATGACCGTTCAAGTGCAGGATCTCTGGAAAGCTCTCGCTGGTACCTCCAACTTCCTCAGCTCACAAAGAGATTTAAGTATTTATGTCGTCAGGATCTGCTGACCTCCAAAGCCATATTGGGTGGGACTGTTGCTGTTGATCTCTCCCCGGATTAACCAATGGGAAGCAAGGGGCTGACACTGTGCTGTGTTGTGCTGTGGGGGGCGTGCCCTCAGCTGTGTTGTCTGCGTTCGCAGCGTCTGCGCCGGAGCCTACCTCCTGGGCTGCTCAGAAGGATTTCATCCACCTGGACCACAACCACCTCAGCCACAGGCCTCCCCACCATCGAGCCCGGACCTGTGTGCCGCGATCGCAGCGCCAGCATCAAGCCTGTTCATGAACTCCCCATCTGCAGGTACGGTCTCACACTCACTTCAGCCCCCCCTCCCCAACTGCAGGTGTCGTCTCACACTCACCTCAGCCCCCCCCCCCCTCCCCTCGGGGGGGGGGGGCCCCGTGGCCCCAACGGGGGCTCCGGTGTGGCCCCCCCCCTTTT